GCCAAAGACAGTCACAATAAAATGCCTCAAGAATTATTGAAAAATTTACCCATTTTTGTCCGAGGAATTGTCGTTAAAGGCTTCGGTAGAGGTAGCAAAGAACTTGGAATACCTACAGGTAACAAAATCCGTCTAAATTTTARCGATCGTCTGTAGTATTTTTACGTTTTAGTGAACAACAATGACCTTTACTCGTTTGTAAAAGATAACTCTATACTAACTTACAAAATCTTCTTAAACTTTAGTAAAATRTTGATACTGGATGTCCTTAGATATATTTAAAAATTATAAACRTTGTATTATTTCGCTTATATTTTATATTTAAATACAAACGTAAATTTAATATTATTTACTACGCGAGTTGGATATTTTTTTTCGACGAGAATTTTAATGTTATGTCATTAGCTTCGCTTGATTGCTTATTGTCAGAAAATTGCGAAATTTRATAATTATGTCAACTTTGTTAATTTTATTTTCTTCGTATTAGATTATTTCAAATATTTTATATTTTATATTTTGAACATTTCCAAGCAATATGCAAGCACTACACTTGATTCGTATCACACATTTCTCTCATTATATCAAATGGTTTCGTGGCAGCAACGTTGTCGGGCAGGAGGCAGAGATAATGTCATATTTTTACATGACAAAAGATTTTATTTTCCAAAGGAGAACATTCCTATTGTTTCGTACTAACAACATGGATACTATATATTATATAATTGATCATATTTCATTGCTCTTGAAACATATATCAGTACATGGTTTTTGTGGACCTTGCATTTGTGCTGGTTGGATATTCTAATAGTAACTACACATATACCCTATTCCGACCCTTCCACACCCCTTGGAAATTCCAATCCCCCTCCTTGGGGAGATATAGATATTTTCTGGAACTTCACTTCTAAAATATATTGGCCCTCCTTGACCAWGATCCTTTCAAATGTTGAATTATCTGCTCTTATTTTTAGCTAATTACCCAGAAGAAGTTGTGGAAAAGTATTCTAGTCTGATAAACACTGGTATTTATTGTGGATGGGCCAAGGTTGATGGTGGTGAGGTGTATAAGATGGTGATGAGTGTAGGCTGGAATCCATACTATAAAAACAACAAAAAATCTATGGTAAGATGAAACCTTCAAATTAAATGGATTCCCTGAAACAACCTWKKGGTTGATCTAAGTCAGGGCATGGCTAACTCACAGATYGAACCCTGAAACACCCTCTGGGCTGATCTAAGTCAGGGCATGGCTAACTCACAGATCAAACCCTGAAACAACCTCTGGGCTTATCTAAGTCAGGGCATGGCTAACCTACAGATCGAACCCTGAAACAACCTCTGGGCTGATCTAAGTCAGGGCATGGCTAATGCACAGATTGAACCCTGTAATAACCTCTGGGCTGATCTAAGTCAGGGCATGGCTAATGCACAGATCGAACCCTGTAATAACCTCTGGGCTTATCTAAGTTAGGGCATGGCTAACTCACAAATATTGAATTGGAATTTGTTATGTTAGAAAAGCACAGAAAAAACTGAATACAGTTTAACTTGAAACCCAAACTAATAATTGAATTAACCAATATTGAAATATATATTTATATATTATAATATGTGATTACAAGTATAGCTTTTCATGATTCTTTAGGAGACACATATCATTCATGCCTTTGAGAATGATTTTTATGGGTCACAATTAAGTGTTGTTATAACTGGTCACCTGCGGCCTGAAAAATCATATCCATCATTACGTAAGTATATATCAAAATTGAAATACTTATACCTATYCTTCTTACTCACTCCACGATGAAATAGGGATTTAGAAGTTGATTTTTATGGAGGGAGGAAAACTGGAGGAAAAACCCTCATAGCTTAGGAGAGAACCAACATTGAAACAACTCTACTCACATATGATGGAAAATCCAGATGGAATAACATATGACATGGAAACCGGCAGGGCTTGAACCCGGGTCGCATTGGTGAGAGGCGGGGCATTAGCAGTGTACACCACCCGTGCTTCCCTAATGATATGAATTAAGGTTGGGAAGTAAGGTATATTGGATACAACCAGGACACGAATACTGTATATTGCTTATCAAATGTCTAGGTTAGTTCCTTTGTGTTTCAATAAAATTTTCAAAATTAAAGTGAATCTGGCCAAGAAAATCCAAGTTAAAGTTTATGCAAATGAACACAGTTCTCTATCTGATTTACAAAACTCTTCACAGTCGTGATTTCTGTTGTATATTCCTCGTGCATTATTAATGAGTTTGATAACTTGTGCTTCAAGGCTTTTCTCCAGCTTCTCCAAATATTTTCCCACCTACATAACAATCAACTAAAGGAGTTTAGTAGAAGAAGCCACTGTGCAACCACTTTTAAATCCCATTATTTTTATCATTATTATTGAATTATATTAAGATATTTTKTTGTTTTTTGTTGTTTTTTTTGTTTGCAGAGRACCTTATAGATGCTATACATAATGATATTAGCCAAGCAAAGGAAGTTTTAGACGAGCCGGAAAATAAATCATACATGACACATTCATTCTTTACTTGCAACGATAGTGCTAGTACAAATAATGAATCTCAAAACAGGTCTTGAATAAAACTCAAATAAAAAAGAATACAAATGAGAATCAATACAATATGTTGACATTTTAAAAACAACATGAAACAAATAATCGTTCTTAAATTATAAGACAAAACAAAAAAATGGAACAAAAAAGATTCTGAGATATGGAAAAGAAAAATTTTAGTTTGTACTTCTAATTTTCAACAATGCATGGCTAAAATCATATAAAAATATTTACAATTCGACTATTCACTTCATGTAGAACCAATACTGAAAATATTGAGTTAGGAGACACTTTAAGAAAAGCTTTATATTCTTAAAGTAGACCCTTCCCTTCACTAGGAAGGCTGTGGATATTTTCTTGTTCTACACAATATACCCTCCTCAGACCCTCCTCACCCCTTGGAAATTCCAATCCCCCTGCATGTGGGAGATATAATGGTTTTCTCTCAGATCCAATCAAAATCCTACAAAACAGAAACCATCCAATCAAATTTCTTGAAATGATAGCCTATGAAAATGTGTTAAATCAACAACTTGGCCAAGTTGCATTTCGTTTGAGGCCATGACTGTCACATGACTTTCATTTTGGACCAATCAGAAATACCATGCAAATCTATCAAGTCCTTCTAATGACAGGATACTAGCAACATTTAAGTGTATTTTATCGATCCATAAAAAAGTTTATTTTAAAAATTGTACCAAAACATTTTGCTATGCTATTTTTCCCATTTCATTTCTTTCCTATTTTGTTTGTCACCAATTTTTAGATTTTTCCCATTTCATTTCTTGGGTTTTCCTTCCCTCTTCCTTTTCTTTTCAATTCCAAAACGCTCGTAAATTCTTGTGACGTTGTACGGCGGAACTGTTCGGAAGCTCCTTAGACAGATTGTTTCACGTTTTTTCTTCCCGCAAACGGCAAAAATATTGATGACCATGTTTTTATCGCTTTTCGGAATTTCACTTTACCTTTTGCAAACCTTCTCACAAAGAAAATAATTATTTATTTTTTGTTTATCTACAACTTCTTGCTATTGTTTTCACCTTTAAAAATTTCCTTAGCCGTAAACGAGATGCTTTAAATTTTCTATTTACAGTATAATTCCGGATAGACGTCTACCTCTTTGCGTGACATGTGACCTTGATTCCACGATCGTGCTGTCTAACTCGTCAAWACGCGCACCCCATAACGTCATATGCAAAATATATATGCGAACAACGTGACGTCAGAATTCAAAGAAAACCCCGGAATACAATCGAAGTTAGCYCTCGTTGTCACAATCTAGACAAATAACAAAATAAGGATCAAAAACTCTTAGACGATCATCGATAAGAGAGAAGAAGTTATTTTACTGCGAAGAAAAGGAATTCCTACTGTGATGTGTCGTTTAAAAAGTTATTCGTTGAGTCAGAAGTGTGTATGGCGGCTCGTCTGTTTTACAGGATCTATTTTACTCGTTTTGGGAGCTGCAAGTTTTGGTTTTGGGATGAAGCTAATAGAATTCGCTGAAAAGACAGATGTTACACCAGTTTTTGCCGGCATACCGGTGAGTTTGTGGTTTCTCATAGCGTTCTTTTACCAATATTATTTAGGTGCTCGGTATGGTCATGAACTTAAGCAGAATTAGCGATGAGGAAAAAAGCTAGGCGGTTTGATTCTATTTTGGTAAATTACTATGGCAGGAAATATAAAAGCAYATGGTTTGATAATGAAATAGGGAAACCTTTTGTTGAGACAACTATAATTTTATGCTACGTATTTATATTAGAACTTATTTTCTATTTTCTTTTATTGTAAAATCGAGACAAAAGTATCCAAGCATAAATGCTCCTATTGGCAAAAACGACAAAACGTAAAWTTATAAGTTTTTTTTCTAATTCAAAACTCACGCCTTCAGAAGTTATTAATCATATGTTTTAGATCAAAATCCATTGTTGAAGTTCTTGGAAGAGATAGCTTTTACATGCATATATAACCAGTATGTTTTCTTTCCTGCTAACGCGCGATTGTAACGAAGCGTGAAACGACTCATGATTATTCACTAAAATAATTGAAAATTCAATAGCGATAATGGTTACATAAATAAAATGCTTAAAAATGMTTAAAAGTTTACTAAGACTTATTGCAAAGAAAAAGTAAGATTTTGTTGCAATATACAAAAAAAAAAGAAAGGAAAAAAAAAGTTAAAAAAAAGATAAATAAAAAAGGAAAAAAATTTAGTAAAAGTCAGAAAATAAAAATGAAAAAAATATAATTGTGAAATAAAGAGATCATTTCCTTTTAAGGATTTTCGAAATCACTTGTGACACGATTTTTGGACTTTAATAATTGTTATTCTTGCATTCTATAATGAAAGAAAATCCTTTATAAATGATGTAAGCATTGTTTTCTTAAATCTAAGTGTTAAATCACTGACATTGAATGAAATATTTATCTTGGCGAGGTCAAAGCTTGTGACTAGRCTTGTAGTTGATTCGGCAAAATCACTCGCTACTTTTAATTCTCTTGATTTATTGATAAAAATAATAACATTTTCCAAAACTACGAGGCGCTTGAACATTTCTTTCGAAACTAAGCCAGCCCTTCAGTTTCATTCGTACCTAATTATAGCAAAACCTATCATGAACCCAGTCTCCTTCCCGTGCGTGATGCTTCCGGCTATTTAGTTTATTTCCCCGCGGAAACTGTTTTGTTCCGGTACGTGGTATAGTCTTGGCGTGGGTTTAAGATGCGAATTAGTGACGGGGATGACCTTCGTTTCGTCACGTACTAACACTTGAGTGTGTTTCTGGTTCTTTTTGTGCTGGAAAGTGTCTGTCTGTCTGTCTGTGTCCGTGCGTCTGTCAGTCGGTCGATCTGTCTGTCTTTCTGTCTGTGTCCGTCCGTCTGTCGGTCGGTCTAGTGTTGTAACGCGCTACTGCTCTTAGCGCATGTTCAAGGGGTCAATGCATTGGATGATATATTTTAATTGTATTTTTCTTATCATGCACAATTTTCATTGAATATCCAAAAGCAAGTAGTGTTAAGCTAATTCCAAATCAAATATACCAGAATATTGCAATTTGTACGACCCATGATTGCACTTTTTGACCCCTTGAGCATGCGCTTAAAGCAGTAGCGCTGAACTCTTGATGCATGTATAACAGATAGACACACAGACACACAGACACACAGACACATAGACACACAGACACACAGACACACAGACCGATAGTGACAGACAGAAACTAGACCGACCGACAGACGGACGGACACAGACAGACAGACAGACAGACAGACAGACAGACAGACAGATAGATAGTGACAGACAGACAGACCGACCGACAGACGAAACTTTTGATACATGTATAAAACTCCCTATCGTGAACAATAATCATTGATTCCGTTACTTCCAGATGATGTTAGCTGGTTTCCTGGGCCTAGCATCAGGATTGTGCAAGAAAGGCTGGCTCGTAAGTATAGATTGTACGTCACGTGGATGTCTAAGTATGCGAGGAACCTGGGCACTAATTTCAGTTGGTACATTTTTGTATCAGGTGACCGGTTATGGTATTTGTTGTGTGATTATCAGCATGCTATCAATACACATGAACTACAGATTCATGGGGAAAGAGCTGCCATCACTTCCGATATACAGGGAACAATGCATGAACGAGCCAAAAGTTCAAAGTGAGTATCACGTGATAACATTCTTGTTCCCAGACCCTATTCTCTTTGGGTTTTTTTTAAGATTGTGTTGATTTTGCATGTATGAGGTAACTAGATATCTGAATCAGGCTTTGCTTGTCATAGCAAGGGGTTAGTAATCCACGATCCGTGAGAGGATGACTAGACTCTCCTCTAGCCTTCGGCCGACTAACTTAATGAGTCTGTAATAGACCTCTTCGGCTTGGGGTAATGTTTTCCCATTTCAGACCACGTGTCATTCCCTTGAGAATAAGATTCTTTGTTTAAGCTGTATCCATATTCATGTGTCTTCTCATGTGCAACCGAGCGGAAACCTTAATCAAAGAAATGATACTCTAGGGAATGACATGTGGTCTGAAATGGGAAAACATTACGTCAGAGCCGAAGAGGTCTATTCCTCCCGGCACTCGATAACAGTGTTTGYGCCGAAATCTAAGGCATAACTGTATAAATGCTTCGCGGCCATACTACGATCAACACTCGGTCTGGAGGTATGGTCCTCGTTATTCAAACAATAAAAACAAAAATTTTCCCAAAATGTTTCCAGCTTGAAAATTAATTTGCTTTTAAATAAGTGTATTTAAAAAGAACAGGAGGAATTAATCCTACGCATTCGCAGTCGCTTCTTTAATCTAGAACTATTACTTACTAACTTGTGTTGTCTTCAGATCACTGTGACAGATATATTGGTACCGTGGCACTTTGTAGTACAGCTGTTCTCATGTTACCATTTATCCTTGCTGCAATCTTGTCTTGTGTAGCAGCCAAGAGAATCTTGAAAAAGAAGGTACGTGAGTTGACTATTAGGCTCAAGGCCAGTCCATCAGTCCATCCATTCATCCATCCCTCCCTCCCTCCTTTCATCCACCCCTCCTTCCCTCCCTCCATCTCTCAATCTCTTCCTCCCTCCCTCCCTTCCTCCACAACTCCCTCCCTCCCTCCCTCCCTCCCTCTTCCATTCATCCATTATTTTTTCTTATTTGGTTGATATTTTCTCATAYCTCATTCACAGAACTGCTGCATATTCTGGTTCACGTGCAGCAAAGTAGAACCCTCACTACCGATATACGACGTCAAGTTACATCGATACAAAAACAGACAAAAGACTAACCCAGTAGGTCTCTTGAGCTACAAAAGTAACACATCCAAGGGATTTGTCTGCGAAATCCCCGAAACACGACCTACGGCAGAATACCTTCCCCGGATACCCGACTTTACGGACCTTGCGGGTCRTCCCGATAGTCCCGGGTACCCGGCTTCCTTCATGTTTGAATATGAAAACAAAAACTCTCGTGCGTCCGGTGAATGTCGCAAGAACAACTATGGTCACTCGAAAACTAAAGAACAGAGTCTTTCCTTAATTGGCTCGGGTTTGACAACAGAGGATGACRCTGGAACTGCGCATGTCCAACGAAAGAGAAGATCAAATTCTGTTCCTCACGGAGTGGCCACTTCTGAAGTAGACTTGAGGCTGTTGGAGCAGGATTATCTCAATAGAAGGAGTTATTTGGAGGAAGAAGAAAACGAGAAGTACTACAGTTTTGCGGCAGAGGAATGGATACAAAAAATGGTGGAGCATCTGCATGATTCGAGGTCGCGGTTATATGCGGTAAGCGATGAAGAGGATTTGAATGAAGCGCCAAGGAGGAAAGAGTCYTCGGAAAGAACCGATAAACATTGGTGTCAAGCTTCAACAGAGTCTGAAAATCAAGAAGAGCTCTCGAACCGTATGGGYTCTCCACCACAAAAGCAGCTCTCTGATGTAGGAAGGAACGTCGATGATGGATCCGCTAGAAAAATGTCGTTAAAAACTGAAAGTTGCATCAATTCAAATCCTCGCACCACAGTAGAACGTGAGTTGAGCTCAGAACCGGATAAAAATTATATAGACAAGGGAAAATTATCCAGAGACCATAATAAATTAACAGGTTCAGTTCCGCGAAGAAGGAAACTTGGAGCAAGCAGTCCGTGTGATATTGAACAAGAAACAAATTATGATGATGATCTCGTTAGCCAATTACCAACATTGAAATCCAATAATAGCCAATCAGAAGTCTCGACTACTGATAGCCAATCAGACACCTCGATTACTGATATCCAATCAGAATCCTCCGCTAATAGCCAATCAAAATCGCTGGATAATAATAAATCAGGGAAGGTGGCAGAAGAGGCGTCTATTGAGTATTTTGGAACAAAAGACTTAACTCCGCATGGTATCGTAACCCCGGTAGGACAGCCCTTCCCTACCGGGTCTTTATATTTCGAGTTTGAGAAAGCTGCTCCCACTGAGCATGCGCAGAAAAACTGGGTAGAATTTGAAGGACACCCTGAAGGTAAAGAAAAACTACTCAAAGGAGAAATGACTCTTAAGGAATATGAGGAGCTGACGTCATATCTAATGTAAATACGTCTATAAATAGAAAACTATAAATAACTTAGTTTCGTGGTAGAGTAAGATATATTATAATTGAAGCTAAATTAATGCACGTTGTGAGATTATTTCTTCTTTATGGAGATATGACATTTTTTGTCTGTGGATTACAAGATAATAAAATTATCATAATTACGTCACAAATGGTGCTGAACCATGTTACCCAGAACCACTTTCGCTCTTAGTTATCATATTAGAGCTAGACCTTTAGCATCAGGTATACCG